ACATATACATAAAGGAAACACCACTCGAAAAACATTCCAATGAGAACACGTTAGATAGACTTGGTTCGTTAGTCTTTACGCGAAAAATTCGTTTGCGCATCTTAACCGAGGTAAGCTTAGCGATCAGTAGAATTATTTGTTTGTTGAGGCAGATAGTGTCGGTTGGAAATTTATGTCGTAAAACGATCCTTCAAGTACAATGTTTCTGTGTTCAAGGATACTAATGTTTTGCCTGATGATTAAAACATGTGTAAAGTTGCAACAAATAAATCGTAACAAATAAGTTTCCGTCACTGTAATTACACACGTAGGAAGAAAAATTTCGAATCCGTGCAGTTCCCTCTCGCAATCGCAACATCGAGAACATTCAAGTAAAACCGTGTAAGCGTGCAGCAAAAAAGCGAGGTGTATGCTTGAAAAAAAGAATACAGGAGGAAAACAAAAACCGTGAAGGAGAAACGCGCAAAATGAAAGAGAAAGAAAGAAAGAAAGAAAAGAAATCGAGAGCTCTGCCTAGAAATTTTTTGGTGTACATCGTGCCCCTGTATTTAGGTATTAATTACACGATACAAATTGATAATCATGTTATAAAATAACGTTACAAAGAATAACTCAAAGTAATATCAACGGCACCGTAAGTAAGTATATGCGAGTAATTTTAAGATCGTAAAATTAGGATATGGAGAAGGAAATAAGAAAAAGAAAAATCAAGAATTTAATCGACGTGAATCGTTCAAGCGATAATGTGGAGAGAAACGGAAAGTTTAGAGCGTATCGTGGAATAAAAAGTAAAAAAAGAAAACATCATCCCGGAAGTAATTTTGATAATTACGTGAAGGCAATGGAAGTCGTAAGAACAGAAGAATGAAGAACAGTGGAGGAACAGAGAAAACATCGGTATCATCGGATAAGAATATATATATATAGTTTACGTAAAATATACGTAATACGTGCATAACATACCACGCGTACGAGCGACAAATTTTTGAATGAAAAGTCAAAAAAAAAAAATAAGGAAAGAACAGAAAAAGAAAAAGAAAATTTTAAGGTACAATAAAGAAAGCTTCTCAGTGGCAACGAATGTGGCATAAATTGAATTCCAAACGACGATAAACTGTGAGATACCTCATCCAATTACTTGCTTGCACGATGGATTAAAAACAAGATGAAGTAGCCCAACGATAACATTATTATTATCGTTGACGATGTAGCG